CCCCCACCCTAGAATGATGGAGACATCATCCCACCCACCTATCCCCCACCCTAGAATGACGGAGACATCCTTCCCACCCACCTAACCCCCACCCTAGAATGATAGGATTACATGGGGACATTGTGACTCCTAACCATTAATTTTTGACAGCCATGCACCACTAGGGAGTTATATCCATTCATTTAAGATCTAAGACACACAAACCTATTTAGGATGGACGTCAGACCATTTTTGAATGATTCAAACAAATTTCAATGAAATTAAGTAAATTTATTGTCAATGAGTCGATATATACACCTAACTATTTTAGATATTTGAGAGACCTCTGCTTGGTTTTGACAACAACTTAATTTTTGACAGATAACCATTCATCTTTAATACTTTTCCTTTAAGACAGATATAAACTCCATTGGGACACACACTTGCTTCTTACGAAGACGCACATTACTATCAAGCCGACGGACACCCACTCTTTTTTATGCAAAAACTTCTTGAGAAAGACATTCAATCTTTTTTACAAAGACTTCTTTTGAAACAAAAATGCTCCTTTTAGACAAACGCCCCCTTATTTCTGCAAGACACCCACACTCATTTCTGACACCCACCCACTCATTTCTGACGCCCAGCCCCTTATTATTGAGACACAAACTTAATTCTGACAGAAACCAATTCATTTCTGCCAGACACCAACCTATTTCTGACACCCATCCACTTATATCTTACACTCAACCACTTATTTCTGACACCCCACTTATTTCTGACACACCCACTTATTTCTGACACCTACCAACTCATTTCTGGCACACACACCTACTCATTTCTGACACCCACCCACCTATATCTGACACCCACCCACTTATTTCTGCCAGACACCCACTTATTTCTGACACCCACCCACTTATTTCTGACACCCACCCACTTATTTCTGCCAGACATCCTCTTATTTCTGCCAGACACTCACTTATTTCTGCCAGACACCCCCTCATTTCTGACACCCACCCACTCATTTCTGCCAGACATTCACATATTTCTGCCAGACATGTACTCCTACTTATTTTTGCCAGACACCCATTCATTTCTGACAGACACCCACTCATTTCTGATGGCACACACTTATTTATGACAATCACCCACTCAGTTTGAACAAACATTCACTAATATTGTAAGTGGGGGGAGAGGCTTACAAAGTCTCATGCATTATTTTTCAGTCATACAATATTGCTTTTTGCGTTGAAGGTTTATAAATTAAAAAGTTTAGCCTTCATAATTATTCCTATTTCCCCAGCTATTATTATGCTGGAAAGAACAGTTTTCTATTGCTTGATACTAATTTTGAAGTATTGAAGGCTGTTCCGAGTACAGTGCAGTATTTCTATTTGACATTTGAATACTGATAGATCATGTATATACTCACATTTCGTCACAGTACCAGTAGTTGAGTACATCTCCAGCTTTGCACGTTTTGTGGCTAGGAGGAAGGCGAGAACAGAGAGGAAGATTGCATCAAATATTCCCAGGATGGCGAGGATGTATCCCCAGCGAACGCTACACTCGCCCAGGCGGTATTCTCCAGCGGTGTCGCCACAGATTGCCTTCACCTCTATCTGGTTCCACCCACTAGGGTAGATCACACAGGCCAGGAACATGAACAGGGCTACAGGGCAAAACAACCAAAACAAATGTAAATCTTAAATCAAGGCCAGCTGGTTTACAATTAAGTAACCACCTACAAATACTTTAATTAGTTATAATCATAATTAGTACTATTTTTACTCCTTTTCCCTGTCATCTTCACAATGTGTATTAAAGCCCTCTAAAAACATAAAAGCAGGTCTATGACAACTCCAATGTACCAAGATTATTTATTTTTAGCTCCTGATTCATTAGGGGAAAAATATATGAAATATATGTAGAAGTCATTGGTTTTTATTAGATGACGTGGCTTGTATAATTTCTTTTCCAGAGTTATACATTTATGACTTTATTATGAAAGGATCTGCACCAATTATGTTCCCACTAGTTACTTGTTTTCTTGGTAATGTATGTGAAATAATTTTTAAATCAAAATCCAATATCATGATTTAAAAGATCTAAAATGTGATTGGTGATTTTTGTAAATTTCTCTAATTACCTCCCCCCCCCCCAAAAAATAAATAAATCCAATCCTGTTTTTAGAGTCATATTACCTGAAAAATAATTGTTTTGTATTACAAAAACGATGACCTGATGACAAAATATTACATACCACAGGTATACAACCTACATGTAAATGATCTGAGTTACTAGGACACAAAAATGTGTACATTGGCATCTACTGGACCGACATTATGGACATTTTTAACATAATGTAAAATGTTGATTTAAATGCTGTGATGTGTTCGTTTTAAGCTGATATAAAAGCCGATTTAAAATTTAAAGCACAAATCAAGACCCCCCTACCATTTTTTGTTGCCCAAAGTTTACTCTTTAAATTTATAGAAGTTTACCAAGTGGCCCATCTCATTAAGTTACAGCTCACTTGCATTCACTGCCCTCAAATTGGGTCCTTGTCTACACGTATATCATCATTGAGGGACTAGAACTCAATACTGACAATTGCACATACCTGGTTAAGTCTTTGAAAAACTTGTTCTCACAGGCTTGAAAATAATAAGGTTAAGAGCAGTGGTGGTAGTGGAGATAGAGGATTGGGGAGGGGTGGGTGGTGGTGGTGAAATATGGGGGTTTTGGTGGCAGTAGAGATAAAGGATTGGGGAGAGGTGGGTGGTAGTGGTGAAATATGTTTTTTTTTTATGTCAGTAGAGATAAAGGATTGGGGAGGGGTGGGTGGTGGTGGTGAAATATGTTTTTTTTTGTGTCAGTAGAGATAAAGGATTGGGGAGGGGTGGGTGGTGGTGAAATATGGGGGTTTTGGTGGCAGTAGAGATAAAGGATTGGGGAGGGAGGGGTGGGTGGTGGTGGAGAATTGTTTTTTTTGGTGGCAGTAGAGATAAAGGATTGGGGAGGGGTGGGTGGTGTTGGTGGGGAGAGGGGGTTGGGGTGAGAGATGTGATGAGGTTTGGTGGTGGTCGTAGCGGAGATGAAGGATTTGGGGAGTGGGATGGTGAAAGGGGTTTGTGGAAGTGGAGATGAAGGATTGGGATGCGGGGGATGAAATTTGGGGTATTGTGGGTTTAATGGTGGTGGTGGTTGTAGTAAAGGATTGGGGAGAGGGGGTGGGGTGAGAGATGATATGAAGTTTTATGTGGTTTGGTGGTGGTCACAATGGAGATGAAGGATTAGGGGAGTGGGATGGTGAAAGTTTCGTTTTTGTGGGATTTGGAGGTGGTGGAAGTAGAGATGAAAGACTTTGGGGG